CGTCAAGGAGCTAGGTACAGACGGCGGTTGGATGGATAGAGCCACTTCAACTTTGTGTAATACCGAGTTAAATGCGTATCTCTTGAGATTCCGATAGCAAAACGTATTGTGCAGCAAAACGAATATGATGACATGCAAAGTCTTGTTGAGAAACTACCCATTGGTAGCACTCGGAGCTATCTTCTTTTCTGATACGTCAGAGGGTTATCAGGAATCGAAGAGGAAGCTAGGTTAGAAACGGGAGGAATCGAATGGTTTTGAAATTTATTATGGGACGATAGGTATCTGGATTGGTCCAAAACGGAAACATATAGAGCATAAAAGTCGTTATGGATGATTTGATTTGTGCCAAAGTAAAGAACATTGAGGATTTTACGAAGTATTTTTAATTATAAGGATTGGATACGAAAGGAAATCGATGGCTTTGTGGAGCCCACAAGTCCAAATAAGTCTTATAGTCATGTATATCAGTATTTTGTAATTAATTTACATGTTTAGAGCGTTTGTCTAGCAAGTGCTGATAGTCGGAAACGTCAAGCTTTTTCTTGTTGTTTCAGACTGGTGTAAGCATACCAAGCTGGACGTTTGTCCAGATACTGTATTAGATAATAATTAGGAGACATAGATATCAGATTTCTACAAAAGTGCTGTATTATTAAATGATACTGTAGGATAGGAAGTCGTAGGTTTATGTTAAACTTGTACATTTCTCAAACACATCATGCTTCCTTATAAAATATTAAGTAACTTTTCGGTACTTCTCCTTTGTTGAGATTTCTTTCTGTCCATTCTGATTCTGGACTCACGGAAGGCACCAGGGATTTTGCCTCACTCCTCAACTTATCCATGAAGACGAACGCGACCTGAAAAGTTCCAGGACTTAACCCTTTGACTACGGGAGCTCATTCTTGTGTTCTTCTAGGTGGTGCACTGAAAACCAAAAATGCATCCAGAAAAAACGGATTGTTTTTTGTTCTATAAATTTGTTTAAAAGATATTTTGAGCCACCCTGCAAGAGCTTAGCTTTAAAAATGCATTTTAACCTTTTTATTCTACTTTTAATAAACATATTTATTCTACTTTTCCTCGCCTCGTTGCAAAATTAGAGCGGCAATTCAGCAACACTTCGTTTTCTTGCGTATTTCCTCATTTCTGAAAATAAAATAACTGTAATTGATCAGAAAAATTAAATTGTTTTATTTCTAAAAACAAGGCACCAATGCACAGTACTTCGAGTGAATGATCGAAATGGACATAATTCTGATTTCTATTTATTCTTATAGGAAATTTTACGCTGATTTCAAATAAACCCCATACTCCTAACCTAAATCGTCGGATAATGCGTTTTACCACCAAAATCGTCATTTTAGACTTAATTTATAAGTTTCGAGCCAAACAACTGAACCTATCATATGGAATTTCGCCTAATGGCATTGTTGCAGATAATAATGTAAGTTTGAATCCATTGAACCCCAATGTGATCAATGTGAAAGTTCAGGAAAATATAAAAATATTTATCAATAAAACAAGTTTTAAAAACTCCAACTTTTGAAATATAATTATAAAAACCAATAAAAAGAACATTTTACAAAATGAAACATAATATACTCGAATAAAGGTTTATATATATATATATATATATATATATATATATATATATATATATATATATATATATATATATATATACAGATATATATTTATCTATATACAACATAAAACAGCTAACAACACAATAAAAATACCATATTGATATTTTGTAAATTAAGATAATTTGATCTGATTCATCATATCAATCATCAATCATATCGATCGTCATATCATAGCAAATCCTTCGTCATTTGTGCTGCTTCCTTATGAAACTCACTTTCTACCCCCATGCGTCAATCCTCATCCACAAATTCCATCAAACAACTCCTGTTCCAACACCTACTCCACATTCAAACTTCCCCTAACATGTAAAATTACTTGCATCTATACAATGTTTAATTTCAATCCATTGCACAATTGAAATAAGAATTAACAATAAATTAGTTGGTATTTTTATCATGTCAGACTAAGATACATAAATTTGTAACTTATTCTTAGGGGACAGTAGTCCCAGAATAAAATTATTTTTTCATTTTCATTTTCATTTTCATATTCATGGTTAATGCTTTATAAATCTAAATTTATGTCACCAATGTCCATCATGCCAATTTCATCTTAAGGTTAATAATTAAATTTAAATTTACGAAAGCAGAAATTTGATTTGCAGTAATCTGCGTTGGAAATAGACATTTTCATACAATTTAGTGCATACAGGGAAAGCAATCCTTGTGCACACTATTTACCATAGACCTTAACAATTTATATTTCCCCTCAGATAAATCTAAATCTAAATATAGAGGTAGTGCTTGATGAACTCTTAACGAAGACTTCGGATTATGAATAGAAGATTTCTTGGATATGTAGGTAGCAAATATTAGCTTAGTAGATGTACAACTTTCTAAAAGCTCTTTTACCTCGCCTCTTTTTCGTTGTTTTGTAATGATTCCTCGAAGGATGGTCGTGTGCTTCAATGTAAGGCACTTGGTCCATGCTGGACTAAATTTCGTCTTGGTCTTTTAGAAGGTAAGAAAATTCTGAAACTCTTGCTGAAGACAAGATGTGTTTCCCAAATAAAATTGTTTGCGATCCCATCGCGCTTATTTTCATTTGTTATTAAAATTAAGATAAAATAGCCTCCTAATCTTCGCTATTCCTTTTTTGCATTCGTCACTCAGGGCTTTCACGATCAGCAAGAATACAGTTCTTCCATGACCATATATATATATATATATATATATATATATATATATATATATATACGATCACTTTTTTTGTGTTGGAAACATATTTCTGACATCTGGGCGTGAGTTTTGATGGCTCGGTCTATTGAAAAAATAATAATACAGGTAATGTGGTACCAGGAAGCACATAAACAATTATGAAAATTAAAGCGTATACTCAATGCAACAAGAATATGCAAAGAGTATAAAATGATATTTAATGATTTTTTATAAACGTGTTTGAAGTTTTAATGTTTAAAAAAAGCATTCAAATAAATGAAGGTATGCAAAATAATCTAATAATTTAATTTTCGCGATTAAAATATGGCATTTTCAAATATATACCTAGACCTAAAAATTTCATACTTGGAACTGTAATTTTATAGAAAAGCCAAGTGCCCTCAGTAAGAAACATAAATTGATGCTAATAAGGTATTTATTGAAAAAGGATTAATAGCTGCATTTCGCCCATTGTATTGCCTTAAAACATAAGTTAAACAATGATGTAATTCTAGAAGATTGTATTCGAAGGTTTAATAATACATATCAAATGTTAATTGACTTGTTAGAAAATTTTCTATTTTTTCCATTGGTCGATGCACTGTGCAACGACAGGATTCGAATTATATGTTATATTAAATATATTACATTATATTACAGGTTACATTTCGCGCTTTTGTATAGCAACATACTACTGATAATTTACATTTTGTTTTTCTTTTTTCCTTCTTCATCTTCATTATTTAAGCCTGTCTTCCAGAATCCGGAGGTCTTTCTGGGACCCGTCCTCTTCACCTGCGGACCTCTAGGTTGAAGTGAGGTGGACCCACAGCCGTCTTCCAACCATTTATGAAGTATTTGAACTACGGTAAGTTTTTCTGACTTACCAACTGAGGAAACTCCTCGGTCTAAACGTAAATTCCCGTAGTTCTCATTTTAGTCGCTAGTAATTCGTCGAAAGCAGTGCAGGCCGTGACCACATGCCCAATAATCTTCGGAATACCACAAGCGGGACCTTGGGGGTCTTTATCCTGTCCGAGGCTGTGTAACTTAGCTCTAAAGCCCTCATGTTCTGTGAGCAATTGTGATACTCAATAGTCTTTTAGGATACAATTTGCTTGTAACATATTTATGGAAATTTGCAACTCCGACATGACATGTACAACATGAAGAGAAACTACCCATTGGTTGCACTCAAATTATGGTTATATGTTAGAAGGGTCTGAGACCATCTTCTTTCAGAAGCCTCGGAGAGTTATCAGGAATAGAAGAAGAACCAAGGCTAGAAACTAGAGAGTTCAGATGGTTCAGAAGTTTATTATGGAAGGATAAGTATGTGGAATTGAGCTAAATCAAAAACATATGGTACATTAAGGTCGCTATGGATGATTCTATCTGTGAGCATTAAGTAGAGATCATTAAGGATTTCGGATTGTATGTATTGGATACGAGAGGAATTCGATGGTTTAGTAGAGCACCAAAGCTCGATCCCATAAGTCCAAATAGGCTTTATCGAAGTAATATATATGAGTCTTTTGTAAATAATTGGAAGTTTAGAGCGTTTGTCTAGTAAGTGATGGAGTAGTCGAAAACGTCGAGCGGTTTCTTGTCATTTCATTCTGGTACGAGGATTCTTCTAATACTAAATCTATACCTTAAGGTATTTGTCAAGGAAGACATATATAATTTAATATCTAAAAGCAATATTGCTCATTTAATTACCGATAAAAAAAAAAGTTATCTTCTACAATACTAAATCTTGAATCCAATATTGCATGAGTCTCGTTAGATTTGCTAAATTATTGGGTAATTTAATAAAAAAAAACCCCTGGGCCATACGATCAGATGAGATTCAATGCTATTCAAAGGAACCAATTTTATATTAAAATTAATATTTACAGAGATGCTACAATATTGAAGAAAGGAATAAAATCTCTATTTTTAAGACATATTCGCACTAACTTGCATAATTATAACGTTTTACGAAAATCACATACCTTTAAAAACTATGAGATTGCTAAGGAAAATATTACTCAAATGAGGGATGATTAATACCTGCATACATATTTATTGATAAAAGGATTCGATGAATTTAAAATAACACGTGTTTTTTATCTAATTAGAATATGAATAATGCTTGTGGACGTAGAATTTTCCTCGCATTAATACAACAGTTGCGTTAATTATAACAACAAATATTAGCTAACTGCCAATGGTGGGGAGAATAGTATTTATATTATCCAATATTTTCTATGTTCTCAATCAAAAAACGATCACCACCATGGTGAATATAACTTTTAAGGCAAGTATTTTTTTTTTTGTTTTTAATACTTTTGTGATATATATATCATTGTTTTTCTTTATTATTTGATAGTATTTTATTGACAATCTTTTAAATTAAAAACAATGGAAATAATATAATATAATTTTTGTATTTAAAACTAATACTTCATTCCATTTAATCATAAATAACTATGAAAGCTATTCATAGAGATCATTGAAATAAAATAATACATATTTAATAATGTTTTAACATTTTTTTAGATTTTAGCACTAGTGTGCTTCCTCCAGGTATGTGCAGGTGCGAAAAAATGGGAGGAACTTAGTGGTAAATATCACAGAAAATATTTTAACGCTATTATTTATAAATAGATGGAAATTCATAATGTATCTTATGTCAATTCTCATTCTTAATCTTACTTAGGCTGTTTCTTATTTTTATTTTATATTTTGAAGAATTTTTTTTTTTCTTAAAACCACCAATATCTAAAAAATCAGAAAAAATAAGTAAGAGATTATATTCTTTCAAAAAAATCTTTGAAATAACTTGTAATAAGATTTAAAAATAATGACAATTTTAAACTTATATAAAAACTGAATAATATTTAAGTAAATTAAGTATTAAACATTATTGATATATTTTTGTTAAAGTTAAATTTATAATCGGTAGAAAAACAAAATTATTTATTACAAAGAGAATATCTAAGAATTCACAAGTAAATATATTGGAAAGTGTTGATGGTAATTTGTGATGATATGATTTTGTATTAATATATATCCAGTTTATATTAAGCTTTATCGTAAAAAAAAATTTTCTGGTGCACCTTTAATCAGTAATGTCAAAACATGAGTGTACCTTATGAATAATAGGTATACAAACAATGAGTTGTTTCATAAATTATTTAAAATCATATCAAATATTAGTAAAATATAATAAAGTTGGAAAAAAAAACAAGATCGCTGATATGCCTTCCAATTTTATACAATAATAAAAAGTTCTAAACCTTTTACAACAAAAAAAAATACTTTATATCTTTAAGAGATTTTTTTATTTCTATTTAAAAACCAAGTAATGAAATGAAATTAAATTATTATATTCACTTACCTGTAAAATATAGTAAGTTTGAAGTATTACAACTGAAAATGTTTAAATGTGGGTTTTCATCGGACATACACGTTTTGAGGTCCAAATTACCAAAAATAAGTAACGCAAAATTGTCAGTGTATATGAGAACAGACTAGATCAAGAACGAAAAGTCATTAAAAACTGATATTACTTATTTAAGATAGGTATATGATTTAGATGTTACAGCGACATTTTCCTTTTATTAGACTGACCGGAAGTGCCATTTTATATCGACGGTGAAACACATTTTTACAATTTTCTCAAAAACGGCTCCAATGATTTTGATTAAACTCCGTGTAGCATTGTATAATTAAATGGTCTTAACCCATTGCTGTCACTTTACAGAGCTTAAATGCCCAATGTTCATATACGTCTTCCTTTACAGCACCTTTAATATGGTTAATTTAAAAAAAATTAATTCTCTTTTATTGACAGTAGATATAAAAATGGCTAAATATGAAATTTGAAAGAACATTATTTTTGGAAACTGGAGAAAAAGAAAATGCTTATCCAGGTCGAAAATGAATTTCCGGAAATAGCAGTCAGAATGTGTACGTTGTAAGGGGAGAATTTCGGAAAAAAATAATATGTAATAAATAAAGTTGTATAAGGGTAACGCAGAGTGACGAAAAAAATATAAATAATAATTTCAGAAAACTAGCATTATTTAACGTAAATAACATTTTTCAATGAAATTAAATGAAATTTTCTAAACTAAATGTAAACTTTTAAAGTTTTTTCTAAGCTTGTAAAAAAAATTACTTAAAATCCACCAAATCAGGGCAATGGCCTTGTTTAAAATACTAATTCATTGTACTGTGTGAAAGAAGAAGTGAAATATAAAAATATTTCATGGATTTGTTTATAACCATAAATATGTTTACTGTAGTTTAATAGCTCTAGATCTTATATTATATTTAAATAATTAGGTATCTATAATCCGTTTATTCCGAAAAAATCATCAAACAACCTTATAGAAAATTAAATTAGTGAATGATTTGATGAGTTTCCCCTTTGTGATATCTCAACATTATCCACTTGCAATTAGTGGGGCACCTTTTGACCTATCCATGGCAGGCAATGAAAATCTAGTAATTTCATTTTAGCAAACTTTACAATGTAAAATAATAGTTTGATAACTTATAATCCTACAGTCCATAATCATTTATAGCCATCTGAATTCATGCAAGGGCCTTTCAGTTGACAGAATGACTAACTCCAATTTTCAACATTCTTTATTATTAATTTTAGTGATATTTCTAATGAGAAATGTACACCTATATTCACACTTCTATATTTCAACACTACAATCACCTATTTTGGAATTAACTTACTGTTATGTCTGTATAGATATGACTTCTTCAACATGAAATATCACTAAAATGAAAAAAATAATAATGTTAATTTTTTTTTTTTGCTCAAAGCCGTTTTCCGAAAGTTCTCACTGATTGCTTTGAAATTTTGAAACAGTTTTGCAATCGAATTCAGGAGTGTTTTTGAATTTCAGCTCCAATGCACATGAAATGAACGCTATTATAAATGGTGTAGCGCAATTTCAATGCATTTCCACGATTGATATTTGAAAATCTTTAACATTGAATAAAATATTTTGAACCGCATGTGTTGGTTTTACATCCAACTGATGGTGCGTTTTTAATATATATGTATAGTTTCACTTTATATTTGGTACATATATTAAACCACGTTATTTAAATGCAACGTTAAACCAAAATTTCAAGGAAATGGGTGAAGAACTTTCCGAGATTAAGAGTTTGAACAAACAAATATTTACATTTTTATATGCCGTAAAATTATCAACACAAACATGAAACAATACATTAAATATTAAAATAAACAATAATAAAATTAAACATGAAAATATGTGAGTGGCTTCATATCAAAGACGGATCGTCTCAGAAAGTTGAGATAAAGTCAATTTTAATTTTATAAGCTCAACTTTAGAGTGCTACCAGTGGGTAGTTTCTCAACAAGCGTGTTTCATGTAATAATATTTCTCTGTACAAATTAACTTGATGTATTCATACTAATACAGTTGTAAATGTCATAATAAAAGTTTAAAAAAAAAAAAGTTCATCTCAGAATGTTTCTGATGATTAAGAATGTTCAAGTTGAATCATGAAAAAAAGAAAAAATAATTAGAATTAGTTTAAATTGAAGCCATTTCACAGAAAAATTCGTTTCCCAACTTTTTAAAAATGACATTTGTCCTTTGGTATTAATCCACTCATATGTGCTTTCTATTTTCTTTCTTTTCCATTTTGGCTGACTAAGCCACTGCAGCGCGTGGTCGGGTAAAGCAAGTTTAATATAAAACTGATATTTTTAAAGTTGACATCAACATATCCTGTAATATACATGACCAAAGTTAGTAATATTTGCGGATTAGTTTATATTTTATTTTTCTTTTTAAATATAACTATATAAGTGACCACGTTAAAGACGAACATATGTCGTTTTCAAAAAGTAGAGAAAATGACAATTTTTGGAACATGCCGTCAATTTGAATCAATTCTAATGATTTCTTTTCATGAATCAACTTGAAAATTGGTAAATAAATCTAGCAGAAGCAGTTTGAGTTGAACCTATAATTCAGTAATAAACTATTTCTTCACCTTCTGAAACTGATAGATGTTCTTGAATATGAAGCAACTTATACAACAATTTAAAATATAATATATCAACATGGATTATACGGTAAATGTAATAATTAGTTTAGGTTCGTTCCAGGCACCTAAATAATAATAATATAGAATAAAGTGGTACTTACTTACATTGGAAAACCATGAATTCATTATTTATTTACATATATGTATTTTTTTTTATTTTAGTCCGGTTTGACGTGCTCAAATCATTGGGCTTCCACCGTATTCCTAAAAGCACCAGTGATCGTCTGATCAATGATTATGTGAAGGTTGAACCGGAAGAAGGTTTCAAACTTCCTGTCGACTTCTACTGCCATCCCAACGATCCTAGGGCTTGCTTTATGTTCGACAAGAGAGGAAACGTTGTCGGAATCCAAACCTCAGTAAGATTTCATTATTTTAGAAAGAAAAAAATATGCATATATATTAAATATCATAAAAAAATATATATTTAATTGCATTATATTACATTGTTTCTTTTAACCAATAATCAAAGGAAAGATGTTGATTTAAATATAAATTTTAGTTCTTAAAAGCCGATATGGCAAAGGTAAATCCAGTGGACTATAATTACACAGCTGTTTTGCCTAACTACCAGGAGACAAATTTCTTTGGAATTCCAGCATGGAGTTTTAGGGCATACATAACTAATCCAGGTAATTTTTTCGCTATATTATTTATTATCATTAATTTTTTTCTTAATTATATACAGAATTATTATAAAATAAAATTAATAGTCTAACTAGGTAATATAATCAATAAATTGCTTCTACAACTACGAAATGTTGAGCTAATTTGTGGTTTGTTCCAGCAATTGAATCTTTAATTTAATTTAATTTTTTTTACTAATCATACCTATCTAATGAAAAAGACTTATAAGAGTTCAGATTTAAATGTACTCAAGAAATTTAAAATTTACAGAAAATATAAAATAAAAAGAATAACAAAATAACAACTTAGTAATAATAAATTATTAATATAAATAATTATTAATAACTTTTTAATCTCTAAATTTATATATTAAATCACCATAGTTAATACTTATCACAATGGCAATATTACATTATTTTGTTTTCATTTGAAAAGAAAAACTCACTGAGAACGGCCGTGTATCTAACGGCGAAATTGGAGATGGTCTCTGGACATACATCAACGGTGAACTTGTTGAAATCCCAAGGATAATGCCACAAGGAGACAGATTTGGTGACTTCTACAAACAAGGGTGCATGCATTCTATGGGTGAGCTGAAATTATTTTTAATATAATTTTTTTTTTTTTACAATTTATTTCTTTATATATTAACAGTTATTTTTTTTTTATTTTTTTATATTCCATCACTCCAATGCTTTGCCTATAAAATTGATTTTGCGTTCTTTTCTAATTTCATTTAGTGATTATTATGCTATTATCTTAGCTCCAATATTGTAGCATTGAACCCCTATTACCCAACTGTTATCGCTAATTTATCCTAAGAGCTATTATACTTAATTTATTACTAGTATTTTGTTATTATTCATTGTAATAGGTCTTTTGGCCAGATTTATTGTAAATTTATATGAACAATACTGCTATTCTAAAGGGACCTAGTCCCAGAATAAAGGTGATTTTTCGATTCTATTCTATTCCATAAGTAATATAATTTACTTATATTTACTTAAAAGTAATAATATAATTTACATAACCACTTCTCTTAAAATATGATTTCATTCACCAAAAATATTGTATGATCATATCTTCTGATATCGACTTCGTCTCAGTCATTATGTATATATATATATATATATATATATATATATATATATATATATATATATATTAAAAATGTTTATAAAAATATATTAAAAAGCCCGTTCTTATTATTATTTTTTAAAAAATCCAAGAAATTTCAACAGCTTTCAGTTAGTATAAGACCCAAACTATATAACTTGAGTGCCATTAAAAGATTTATCTTTCTGTTATTAATAATAATAATAAGGCTTAGCGAACCCAAAGGTTCGATGCCGACACCACCAATCGCTTGTTACACACCTCCCTCCACCGTTCGCCGTCCAAACCCAGTCCCTTCAGATCGGCTTTAATGCAATCTTCCCACCTTCGCTTCGGTCTACCCCTCGGACGCTTACCATTCGGCACAGCAAATATTAACCTTTTAGGAATTCTCTCGTTACTAAGCCCAACAACTTTACAAGCCCATTTGATTCGCCGCGATGAAATTACCTCAATTATATTACCCGGATACAGCTCACGCAATTCGGCGTTGTGTAACCGTCTGAACTCTCCGGTTAACTCATCCTTCTTCGGTCCGAATATTCTACGCAATACTTTATTTTCAAAAACCTTAAGACGCTGCTCATCCCTTAATGTAAGCGGCCAAGTTTCGCATCCATAAAGAACTGTAGGCAAGATAATTGTTTTATAGATTCTAATTTTTAAGTTTCGGGACAAGAGGCGCGAACTAAGTAGTTTTGTCACAGAAAAATAACAAGCATTCCCCGCCTTCAGTCTAACCTTATCTTTCTGTTATTATTACTATTATTATTATTATGTTGATATGTGTAAAACCGTAAATATGTCTAGTATATTAGGTAGTAATGTACACGAATATACTGTGAAATATGTCCTTAGGTCAACACTTCTTCTACAAAGTCCATAAACAGGCTACGTGCAAGGAACTTTTCGCCCTCTTTCCTATGTACGAAGACGGGTACCTCGTAGGGTACGGTTTGGCTACACCAGGGACAGGATCTGCTGGTAGACGCAGGAACTGGTACGAACACCCACCCAAGCTAGCTCTAAGTGTGAGTACCTGTTTTTACCTTATGCCATAGAACACTTGATAAAAACTGCATACTACTGTTTTTATAATTTTTATATGTTAACAAAACAATCACTGATAAGTTCAACTAATTTTGAACATACTTTTATATGAAAAAATTTATGAAGAATAAATATAATAATCCATTCCATAATATCTTACCCTTCCAGATCATCACACCCAACAGGCCACAATGCTTGGACAGGTTGGTGGATAAGTACGGCTTGACATCCATGCACGTCTACTTCGTGAGAAGACCTTGGGACATCTCATGCACCATCATCGGTAAGGTCATCGGTGGTGTTACAGGCTGGATCCCATTCTAATAATTGTTAAAATCATCATTATTTTTATAAAATAAACGCTGTGTCATCTTATCTCTAATATCTTACTATAACAGTCTTGTTTTTTTTTTTTAATTTTCCAAATAAATGCCTATTACAATAATATATAAAAAAAATCGAAGAACATTATTTTGAATGTGAATAAGTTATTGTGAAAAAAATATTTTTACAAGACTCAGAAGAGCAATGGCTTTTGATGAAAGTGCTATCAAATGTAATGGAATTTCACGGAGAAGTGACGAATTCCAATTTAACATTACTAACTTTACTACAATTACAAAAAGGGTATTGAGAAATTTTTCAACTGAGATGTTTATAAATGTTAATAAATCGAGTCTAGATGAATTGTACTTCAAAAATTTCTGTGCGGACATTAAGACCCGGCTGTAGATAAATTTCGTATTTGTATAGGGTTCCTCCCTTAAAACAAATAAAGATTAAATAAATTTAAAATTCATTAAGACCCGGCTGTAGATAACTTTTGTATTTGTATAGGGTTCTTCCGTTAAAACAAATAAAGTTTAAATAAGTTTAAAATTCATTAAGACCCGGCAGGTTCAAATACTGGACTCTGCTTTTTTAAGCTTGAAAAGTTTTTTCGAGATATAATGCAATTCTTCTCGAAATCCTCTTGTGTGTTATAGTTATCACGCGTTCCTTGCCACATTTTCAGGTTTTAAAAATTAAAACGTTGGTATTTATAATAGTCTTAAACGAGCTAAAAAAGTATAGTTATACTATCCCTTCAGAACTTCGGATAGTAAGAAACGTTTTGAAATTTTCAATAAACAAAAAATTATCGAGGTATGTTTTTTGTACTCTTAGTTCTAGACTGCTATATACTTAGTAAATGAAAGTACTACATAACAAGGCTCTTTTGCACCAAGAAAATAGATTTTCAGCAAGTACAATAAAGGTTACATTAAAATGGTTAATAATAGCTATTACAATGCTATTGAATATAATTAAAAATCTTCAGATATTTGAAAAAATCAGATATTTAAAAATCACGATATCTTTACTAATTGTAATCTAATTTCGACGAAGCTTTCTTCATTTTTTAGGAAATTTAAATACATTTGAAACATCTTGCACAATAGTAACATCAAATGTATACTTTTTGAGTTATTCGGAAACTAATTATGCCATCCCTCGTAACATTTTTTCAAGCTTCTTTTTATTGAAGTATGTTATATAGATAAATTTAAAGGAAATCGAGAAGACTTTAGCCATGTTTCCTTGAAATCATTACATTCGTTTAGGCGCTACAGTCTATAGCAACGAAGCTTTGTGAGTCTCCATATTTAAAAGAAAAGGCGGATAGCAATGTCAATGAAGGAGGATCATCCTCATGTGACTCCTGATTTTAAATCTAAATTTAAAAAAAAAATGTGGATGTGGTGCATCATACTTCAGAATAGAATTCAGATTGCGACTGGCACATTTCGAACCAGTCCCGTTGTCAGTTTGAGACAGGAGTACTCCATCTTTTATTTAGAAGAAAAAAAAAAACTGGCAGTCAATTAAATTTCAAGAATACTTTCCCAAACCGAATATCCTACAAACAGATATATTTTCAAACCAAATTTTCCATGGCTGTTGAAAATAAAACTAATTCTACCCTTCCTTTATGAGAGAGATTTAATTTAGCTGTAGCGTTCCTCAAAGAAATACCCCCGATCAACCAAGAAATACGTAACTCGCCATGGATAAACAAACCGCAAAAACAATCTTAAACCTGACCAAGTTACTTATAAAACCAAACTTTACCTACTGAATACAAAACCAAATTTTCACGCCTAATTCAAAAATCACAGAGAACTTTTTTAATCCATACTGATGGGTCCAAATTTGACAAATCTACAGCTTCTTTTTTTATTACTCATAATCTCACCCTCAAAATAAAACTTCACAGAATATGCAGTGTAGCTGAACTCTACGCAATAGCCTCAGCCCTCCACTTCTTCATGTCAATAACCTCCAAAACCATTGCAATAATAACGGATTCATTAAATTCTGTAAAGAGTTTGAATAGAATGTATTCAAAGCAGCTAACTACAAAAAAAAATCCAAACATATCTAAAGATGCTGGAAACATTGGGAAAGTAGTCTATCTCGTCTGGGTGCAAAGTCCAATAGGTATCATTGGTAATGAGCTTGCAGATGTAGCGGCCAAGCAAGCACTTATCCTTCCTGGACGGAGCAGTACCATTCTGCCTTAACAACATATCAGTCTTCCTCTCAAAAAATATTATTTTGTAGCTGGTAATTTATGTGGGGTCAGATACTCTGTCAAGCAAACTAAAAGATATTTTAGAAAAAGTAAAGGCGTGGGCAACATAAAATCTTCCTATCTGCAGAGAAGAAGTCGTCTTAACCAGACTGAGAATTAGCCATAGCAATCTAACCCATTCACATCTCGTTAGCAAATAGCCACCACAAAAATGCGACACTTACAGTTGGTCACATTTTTCAAGAATGTTTTTTCTATATCTCGTATTTAACTAGTCTCAGATTCACACCTCCAATATCAAACATCCTTAAAAATGACGAAGACATAGTACAGTTAGTATTGATTTCTTTAACATTAAACAATTTGTTAAACAAAACTTAAAAGCTAAAATTTAAATCTAGTTTAGCAATAAACAAAATTTTTTTTTTACATTCAACAAACAACAACAAAGTTCTATTTTCATTTTAATTCTTTATAAGTTACCTAGGACTCCATCTGGACAAACGTCTAACTTGGAATCCTGATACCAGACTGAAAAGAACAAGAAACAGCTCGACGTTTCCGACTACTTCAACACTTACTAGACAAACGCTCTAACCTTCCAATCAATTATAAAAGACTCATTTACATGACTATAATAAGGCCTATTTGGACTTACGGAGTTGAGCTATGGGGCTCCACCAAACCTTCAAATTCCTCTCGCATCCAATCCTTACAATCCAAAATCCTTCGTAAAAACATCAATGCTCCTTACTTTGTTACAAATAAAATTATCCATAATGACCTTAATGTTCCTTATGTATCAGATTTGGCCCAATCCAGATATCTGTCCTTCCATAATAAATTTCATAACCATCCCAACCCTCTTGTTTCTAACCTTGCTTCCTATTCAATTCCTGATAACCCTCCGAGGCGTCTGAAAAGAAGATGGCCACGTGATCTTCTAATATAGACATATTATTAGAGTGCTACCAATGGGTAGTTTCTCAACATGTGTTCCATGTCGTTATATCCATGTGCGAATTTACCAGATGTATTTTTTGTATACAGTTGTAAATATCATATAAATAAATAAATAAATAATAATAAAAAAAATCTTTATAACAGATATTCTATGAACAAAATATTTTTGAAATAATTGCTCTGTGATATCGATTCCTGTTTATATCAGGTATTTTATGCTAAATAATAAGTATTTCGTACAGAATAATTATTTCATGCATCATATGAGAATTGAAAATACAATTATTTCACGTAAAATAAATATTGTAAAAATATTCGCGGCAGATACGAATAGATTTTTTTAAAATTCATGTATTGTAGTTTGTATAGTATACTTATATAGTTTATATAGTATACTTATTTCATATTTCATAACTACAAATTATACTTAAACATATATATATAAACTTCCAAGTATATAATAATAATAAATAATCTTCATTATTTTTAAAACGTAGCTATTAAACTCGTGGTATGTTTATAATTAAGTCAATGTACACAATAAGAAGTTATTTAGTCAATAGCTGGATCGATAGTAACTCGAACAAGCTAGGAAAACAAACATTAAACACAGATAAAGTAATAGTAGTCACTCTAAATCCAACATTCCCTCGAATTAAAACTCAATACCTTCCGTTTTGGTCGGTTGGGGAAAGGTATGAAAACTGTTTTTAAATATTTTCAAACCTTTGGTGACAATTGGGTCATTCTAGTTTTTCTAGGAAATTTGCGAAACAGGCCAACATTGCTCGCATTTTTTTGAAACGTAACAACTATGTTTATTCATAAAAACCGATGTTTCCGTTGTCTTAAGATTCACTAAGACTTCTTCTCCTTCTTCCTAGAGCCAGGACCCGAAAATCGACCTGATCGAAGGTGGACGTTTGATTGTAAATTACGAAAGTATAAGTTATTCTGAATAAAAAAACCTGGTCTGCCGTTCCAGTGCCGCTGCTTTAAAAAATAGCAGCTGATTTAAAGAATATTAGGCCAATAATTTGAGAATCGAAACGGGAAATCCATTTCGAAAAATGTGAGAAAAGTTTTTCAACTTGTATATATAGGTTTAGACATGTAAAAAACAAAGTTTCTAACACTGGCCACCAAGGAAAACCTTTTTACAACCGAAAAAGTCAGATTTTTTCGATGGTTTTTATTTTATTCACATATAACTGCTAAACAATGCATCAAAGCGAAAAATGTATTCTTTACTAAATTAAAGAATGTTAAATTTTGCGTTAAATAAGTATATCAACTTTATAATGTGATTAAGAGGTAAGGTATAGAAAATAACCCCTAAAGGTATAGTAAAGCCAATAATTTGAGAATTGAAACGAGAAATCCATTACGAAAAATGTGAGAAAAGTTTTTATTTTTTTAACTTGTATATATAGGTTTAGACATGTAACGAACAAAATTGGTAACGCTGGCCACCATCGAAAAACTTTTATCAACCAAAAAAGTCAGATTTATTGATTTTTTTTATTTTATTCACCTATAACTCATAAACCATCCATCCAAGCGAAAAATGTACTCTTTAATAAATTAAAGAACGTTAAATTTTGGGTCAAACATGTACATACATTTTATAATTTGGTTACAAGGTAAGGTATAGAACCACGGTCAACCAACGCTGATTTTTACTACATTTGTCAAAAACTGAGACGAATTAATATAAATGGCCCTGTAACTTGGAAAAGAGTTCCCTAAGTGAAAAAAAAAACCCATAGAATGAAAGTTGAAGAGCTCAAATTTTTCGTACTGAGTACTAACAGTATTATTGTAGGCCAATTATAAACAATCTAATCGGTATTCGTTATTCCTTTATAAAATTCGGTATCTTTCGACACATCGTTTACCATAATCGTTTGCTGTTGAGAGGTGGAAAAGCGACTTGTGCTGCATGTAAGACTCTAAACAAAACAACTCAGTAGATTAGACACCCACATTGTTGAAATATTGAAAATCATGTTTACTTTCATTACCAATTTCTATCATCCGGGAGATTTCGTTCGCAGTAAGTGACCGACATTAAATTAGTTGGTACAGTTGACGCAAAATTTGATTCTCTACAACTTTGATTCTATGGGTTTTCCTCTTAGGAACTCATTTCCAAGCTACAGGGCCATTTATAGTAATTTGTCTCAGTTTTTGACAAATTTGGTAAAAATCAGCGTTGGTTGACCGTGGTTTTATACCTTACCACGTAACCAAATTATAAAGTTTATGTACTCGTTTGACGCAAAATTTAACGTTCTTTAATTTATTAAAGAGTACATTTTTCGCTTTGAT